ATAAATTAGAATATAATTAAGAAGGCAATTTATTTCAGTATTTCAATACAAATTCAATCTGGATCAACTCACACAGAGAAAAATAAGCAGTTAGAGGATTTTAATGAACAAATCTTTGGCGCTCGAACCGGCGGAAGACTAGTGAGCGTAGATCGCCGGGGGGAGATGCTGAGTCCGGCGAAGCTCACTAGTCTTACCCCCCGGTCCGAATACTGATGATGGAGCAGAGCCTTGGATGGAGGAGCGCGTAGGGCGCCTGGAGAATGGTCATCGGCTGAAGGTGGAGATGGGGAGGAGGTGGGCGAAGCACAGCTGACGAGCAGGCAGATCCCCGGAAGCTCGTCTTCTTGAATGGACCGGCTTGACGTTGATTGGCTGGGACGCGCGAGGGCGCCGATCCTGATTGGCTGCAGCAGGGTGTGACGTGATTGAAGAGGATCAGCAGTGATGTAGATTAGCTGTGTTCTGTCTCCCAGCTTGAATTTACGCCTAAGCTCCATTTGTGAAACTTATATAAATTCAACACATGTTGATTGATACCAGGACATAGGCATCAGCCTAAATTGCAACACAGATCCACAGTTAAGGTAGGAGAATATGTCAACATGCAACTATGCATCATAAACTGTCCTTTATGGAAGTGTGTCAAGGAAAAAGTCATGAGAAATTCAATTTTTAGTTTAATTTTGCTTACATGAGAGACCTGTTTCAAAAAATAACAAACACATCACCAAAACAAATAATTGAGAAATTTGACTTGATTAATTAAGCTAATGACATATTAACTAAAAACAAGCTTCATAAAAAATATTTCTCGTTTTGTCAATTGAATTTTTCCACAAATGACTTCCCTTTGTGGTCCTCTATATGTAGTATATATAGGTACACACACACGCACACAAATTTGTATTTCTACTCATATTAGGTCTTTGCATTAATTTCCATTCATTTTTTATAAATTTCTACAGCCTAATCATGACCTTTACTCTAAACCTAAACTGAATTAAACTCAATTCATACCTCAGTCTTAAACCAAGTCTTGCCCAAAGTACAAGCTAAGGTGGGAGAGTACGAATGAGGTCCTAGTTTTGGGCCCCAGAAGGAGCAGTCGGTGCCCATAGTGTTGTATTTGTCAGAAGACAGTATATCAGCAAGGCCAGAAAGACACACACACACACCTACACAAAATTAATCCAAATGGCTAAAGGTCATGCAAACACTGGTTACCATCACATCAATGTGGCCTGCCACTTTCCTGTTGGATACTGTCTTACTTTAATAAAATCATTTGCACAATTCAGATTCCTTCTTAACGTATCATTTTGCTGAGCAAATCTGAGCGGGCACATGCAGGCAACCAATAGGTTTACCTGAAATTCTGCAAAAGGAGATGTGAAAATAAAACATTCCCCTCCCCCGAGCTGGGATTTAAATCTCTTTTGCAATTCCTTTCTTTTTTTTCTTCTTTTTTTGTATGGCCAATGTGTTGTTGATAACACTCAAGGTTAAATGTCCCATGATGACAAAGCAAATGTGCCAAAGCAACGACCCAGAGGGCTGCGACCCAATTTAACCCCATATTTGTCCCTCTTCTTTAGCACTGTAAAAATCAAATCTCACCCAGTAATTATTTTTTGGTTTAAGAAAACATCCCTTTTTGTCCTTTGTAGCTGTGCTGATTAAAAATGTTTTAAACATAGCGTGTTGTGAACATGCTGTGTGTTGACTTTAAATACATGGCCTTTAATCATGCACAGACCTTGATATGTTTGTCTCTTCTGCCTCTTTAACAGCTGACACAGATTCTGGTCGGTCTTCTTGTTTGGAGTTTTACAAAGGGTGAACTCAGTCTTTGATGGGCAAAGAAAGCACACAAAAACACTGCCAAGTGTTATAACACAGGCTAGAGTTGCTTTACCTTTGGTTTCTCAATCATTCTCTTTGCTTTGGAGAAGGACCAAGTGTTGTTCACCTGAAATGTGTAGAGATGAACTCAAAACAAGTCGTGTTGGGTTTGTGGGTAGAAGAATGAGATAAAGGACCTTTGCACAGACTGAAAGAGTTCAACCGTAGATTCACTCAGAACAAAGACGGCATGAGGTATCAAAAACATAATTTATTTTTTTCAAATTATTATCAAATTCAATTCTGTTTTAAATTATGTCACTTCACAGTACATGTTGAATCAAGGAACTTAAACAAAATACTCAATTCAATCCAATCATATAGACATATTCCAAGTCAAAAACATGCATTCCAAATTGAGACAAGTTTTAAAACAATTCAGTCAATTTCATTTTAAATAATTTACCTGCACAAGCACTGAACCCTGTGGTACTCCACAGGTATCCCCAGAGTGATAAAAAATAATTTATAAAACAATATAACAGCCTTAAATGTAGATCCCTTTAAAGAGTCCAGAGGAGAGATAAAATAAGAAAACTTAATAGGAATGATGTCAGAGGTAACATCTAGGCTGACTAAAGAAAAATAAGCAATTTGTCAGCCTATAATAAATGTATTTGAGTGAAAAGCACTGCACTTTGTTCCAGTGTTTTAAATAATTTAAGTGTAAATATGAGACCTATCTTTTAAGTTTCGTGTGGATATTTTATGATGAGACCTATTAATAAGCACTTAATATTCCTATTAAGTGCTTAATGGGATGAGCTAATTTCCTCAACCAAAACCAATTTCTAGCTTCAGCCAAAAAGGTTGTGTCTTTTTTTCAAAAAAAAACCAGAGGGAGAAAACAATTCAGTTTTAAAGAAGGAGGAGATTTTTTTTTCATATGCAAATAAAAAAGAGAAAGAAAACAGGAAATAGCTGACTGACTGTCCAAAAATACGTTTACAGGTCTCATAAAGCGAAATCAACAACATAAAATCTTCATTGTGAGCGATAAAAAAACCCATTAATTACGAGCTCGACTAGACGCTTTTCCTCTCCATGTAGTAGTAAATAAGGTCATATAAAGTGGCATGGTTATGTTACTCAAAAGCGCCAGCAGAGATCTGTCCTGCTGAGTGAGTTGTTGACTGGTATTCTGCAGGTTGAAGGTATCAGCACAACAAAACTCAAGACGTACTTTTCATGCCCGTTGCTCTGGAAAGACGAAACAACTTTAAAAGTAAAGTTGTAAGAAAAAAGCTTCAATGAAAAAAAACAAATCATTATCAAGAAATTTTACTTCAAGTTTGAATAAAACAAAACAAAACTGGTATTCATATGATGATGACAAGCCAATTAGTGAAATCACTGCAGAAACGTGGGCTTGTATGAAGCTTCTTTAGAAGTTTTTTTTTTCTTTTTAACAGTGAAACATCATGTCTAACATATAAATATTCCCTCTAATATGAAAATAGTTTAAATATTTGTCCCAAATGACTCTAGTATGAAATAATCAGACTAAACATTGACTTTAAGCATTTTGATCTGAGAATAAATGAAAAAATATACAAATTTCTACACATAAAAAAATAGCCTTTTCTGATTACAAATCATTCTAAATAACATCCTTTAGGTGGATTTTGAAGTGATTTTGATGTCAAAATAATCCTATCCATGTATATAATATGACAACACAGGCAACTTTTTTTTTCTCTTATGATTTTTTTGGCCTTTTAAGTCGTTATTACTATTTCAATATATTTTGTCTTGTGTTCCCCAGCTTTTACAACTTTTATCAGATCGCTCTTTTGTCCTTCTGGAGCAGTCCTGTACTGGCTAGCAAAGCCTATCGTTCCGGTAACAGTTTCTTGTCATCCTTTCTCTCAGTTTACAGTAAAAGTCTCTGTTTTTAGAATCGTGTTCCATTTATGCACTCAATATTTCTGGTAAATACTATAAAATAAAATTTGTTTGGCAAATAATATGGAAAATAAATTAAAACCAGACGGTTTTTCGTCTGTACACATCTTAAAAACAATAAAGAGGGCCATCTGCTTATAGTAATATGAGTTAATATTAAAAAAAAATAATGTGTTATGCCAGTTATTACAACACTATATTTCCTCTGAGTCTAATTCATCTCAAGCTTTTATTGTCAGAATAAGTCTCACCCTAGTCTTTAAAGGTTTTTTTTGTGTGCATTTATTGTATTTTCTGTTTGGTATTAGAGTTTTGAGGAGTCCTAGAAGTTCTTCCTTCTTCTTCTTGAAATGATTTCAAACCTTACAAATTACATATTTAATCTTTTTCACAATCGGGACAATTTAAATGAATCTGGATAACTAGTATCTTAAAAAAAACGAATTAAATAAAAATTTTAAATAATTATAGTAAAAGTAGTACTAATAATTATGTTTACGTATAGCAGATATAGCAGAATTTTACTTTGCAAAAAGTAAAATTCTTTTTGCAAACAGAAATCTTAAATTGTGATCACATAAAATGTCCTGAAATTTATGGTTCTAATATGACAACATGCAGAAAATGTTGCATGAATACTTTCGCAAAGTCTCTGAACCTGGAACTGCTACATTTCTTAGGTGAATAGCGCCCTCTACTGTGTGGGACTGAAAATTAGTCTGATACCAACAAACCAAAAGTGCTTACAAATAGATTTGTTTAAAATATGTCATTGTTAAATTTTAACATTGATTGGTCCAAGGTAACAAATTACAAATTCTAAATAAAAAAATATGTGAAAATATTTTTTTTATATCAAATATTATCCAAGTATAACATCAAATGTGTATCTTTGATTTACAGAATCCTAATCAGGTTTATTGTCAAATCTTTTTGCTTGCTGTTTCTAGGTTTTGATTTAATTGTGCTAGTCCGACAAGACTAGCACAATTAACATTATGAAATGTAGTTTTAAGTCAGGCTGATTAATCTAAACAGACAGAGCGGTTGAAGGTGAGTGGTAAGGTCTAACAAAAAAGAGGAAAGGAATGACAGAAAGGACAAACGGTAGAAGAGTCAGGGTTCATTTACTGAAATGTTTTTGACTCATTCTATTGCTAAATTAAACAAAAATACAAATAAAGACAACATATCAGAAAGAATAATCTTTATTTTATATTGAGTGAAGACATTTTTCAGGAGAACAAAATTGTTATAAAAACAGTTAGTGGAAATAGGTCAAATCAATAACACAGTCAATAATATTCAATAGGTGGAGTGAAGTAAACTGATAAGTTTTCATGCATTAAACATTTAACAAGTGTAAACAAGAAATTAGAACAATTTTTAGTCGTTCTACTTTAGAGACAACCAAACGTAATGAAGGTTAATGCATCATAATCAGACTGAAATAGCATAATTTAACCAAAACCCACCATTAAACAAAAATGATTTACTCTGATACAACATAAATATTGTCATTTTATATCCTCACACCTTCACATCTTAAAGCCTTTCATTACTTTTTTTAAAAGTGTTTCAGCTTCATAAAAGTTTTTCCATTTTTAAAATGGTGACTTGGACCAATGCAAGCACCCAGGAGGGAGAGTATGCGTCTTTGTGTGTGAAGACAAGTTTGAACCCCAGTTTTTTGTACAGATTCACAGCAGCCATCTGGGTGGAGGTGGTCTCTAGCACCAACTTAGAGAAGCCTCGCTCCTTACAGAAATCAATCACAGTCTGAGTCAACCTGCAGCCCAGTCCCATCCGCCTGGACTTTGGCGAGATGCTCATTCTGAACATTTCCCCATGCCTCTCATTCCCACTTTCTGTACACAACACAGCCACCGTGCCGATGACCTGCGTTGCCCCGTCGACCTCAGCCTCTGCCACCCAAAAGCAGTCATCCGGTCTGCTCATGTACGTCCCATCAATGTCCTGCATGTCTGTCTTCAGTTTCGCTGCGACATACCTGGCGAATAGGTCATAGGAGCAGCAGTAGATGAGTCCGACCCAGGCTGCTGGCAGCAACAGGGCTGTAAACAAAGAGTCCAGGAGGTAGCCGACCAAACCCAGAGACAGAGTAATAGTGAGGTGTAGAGGGCTCGTCATGGCATTCTGAAAACATGGGCCCATGTGCTCCCTGATGCCGCTACTGAACAGGTGCCGCACCGTGTCCTTGTCTGATGGACGGTAGCGGCGGATCACCAGCTCCATGACTACAGGAAACAGAAAAAAAAAAAGAATTGTCAGATTTTTATTATCTATCTTTTATTTTTTCCAGAACCAAATTATGGAGAAGCAGCATACAGTCTCTATTCTCCACAAATGTGGAACAAACTTCCAGAAAACTGCAAAGATGCTGAAACACTTTAAGTCAAGGCTAAAACTCCACCTGTTTAGAATTACCTTTGACTCCTAGTAACTTGCACATTGATCAATATATTTGATATTTATTGGTAATGTAACACTTAAAGTTTCTAACTTGTTGGTTCCTGTATAATGTTTTGTGGAGTAAAGCACTTTGAACTTTTACCTTTGTCCGTTCACATAAAAATATGGTCCTTATGTAATAACTAATCTAATGCACCATATTCAAATGGAGTGTATACATACTTTGTAACCTTTACAGACTAAGATCTGGACAAAAATAGAGCTGGAAATCAAATTATTCCAACTTCTGCAGTAAAGACTATTATATCTTTCATTCATTAGTTATTTTAGTCAGCAGCTAGAAGTGAAGCTGTCAGGCTACAATGGTTATGCATTAAAAGATTTGCAGTTTTTGTTAGATTTAATATTCAGTTTTGACTTTAGATTTTGAATTCTATTTTAGTTTTAGGTACTTTTTACTATTTGTTTGATGAATTATTATCATTACTATTATTTTAAATGCTGGTTTAATTTTGGTTTCCATTAGTTTCAGTTCTAGTTTAAGACAGATTTTTTAAGACAGTTACATAATATGGGGCAAGATTGAAATAGTAGAAAAGTAAAAAAATATAAATCCCAAAACTTGATAGTAGCTTTGTTTTTTAAAAATGCATTCATTTAAAACAGATCAGCTATAAATCTCAGCTGCTGTGCAATGTACAGGGTTTTAAGTGTTTAGTTATCACTTAAGACACTGATCAAGAAGAAAATCACTGAACTAAGCAAGAGACAGTGAATGGGCGACTCGAAGTGATCCTTTCTATATGTGGGTTTGTTCCCGTTCAATATAATTTATTTCCTTTCACTACAAAGCACTTCAGAGTTATCTCAAATTGAACTTTGGCACTTTCTCCCAACTGTTGCTGGCATGTTATGTACAACACTTGACTGATGTACCTGCTATCTGCTGACATACTGAGGCACGAGGAAAGAAACTAAACTTTACATAATGTCATAAATGTATGATATAATGTATAAACTAAGCTATAAGTTCAGTTAATTTTGTGAACACTTGTACTTTGTTAGTTTTTTTTTTTTGCAAACTCTCATTTTTTTTTTACATTTCAGTTAAAAATGTTTCAATGCAATAAAGATGTGAAAGTTTCAAATACAGTTTCCTTATGCTAAATGATTTTGTAATGCAGTATTTCACTTCCTTAAATATAAAGCACATATTTAGGGAATTTATAGGATTTGTTGATATAAGAATAACAAGTTGAAGATTTCTTTTTTAAACCAAGTATAAAATCAAGTACATAATGGCAGAACTGCACGTAAAAATAGTGAAATCTTAAATCTGAATGCTAACCTATTTCAAACACCTGATTGGGACTTACACGTTGTTCGGTTCAGTTAAACTCAGGAAAAATTCTTCTCGGACCGTCACTGTACTTCCTCGGTTTGTTCGGTTTATCGAATAACGACTCTGTAATCCGACTGACGAACCTTTAGCCGCTAATAAAGACAACAACCCTTGCAAGAACCGTTTGAACTTACATTGTATAGGTTCATGGTTAAACTTTTGCAGCTAAATGAACAGGAAGTACACTGCTATGTATTTGACTTGGGTCAGAATACATAAGCAGCAGAAACGAGAAGGGAAATAACTTTTCCCTTTAAATCCACCTCTACTCACCTGAAATTATATCTTGTCTATCAGGAGTGTAATTCTGTGATATCGGTAGTAAAATGAGAGATTTAAAGCGCAGAGATGTTAAGACATGTCGGTGAAGGAAGAGGCCAGTGAAGAAATGACAGACTGCTGCCCCCCTACGGTGGCCCTGAGGCTCAAATGCAAATTACAAAAACACAACAACTAATTGAAAAACACTATGACATTAAGGAAGCACAGTTACAAAAACATTAACAAAACGGAAAGGATATGTCCCAGATGGAGACCTGAAAAATCACGAATATATATGTTTTCATGCCTGTTGTCCAATCAGCGATTTCTCAAGTCTCAGGTTGTCTCCTCTGGGCCACCGTCTTTGGTTGTCACGATAAAGTGCATTTTAAAAAAGGTTTTATTGATTATACATATCTGAAATTTCTTGCTCGTGGAGGCAACTTACTCCTGTAGAAATGAGGGATTTTTTATTAGATTGAATTAATAATTTTTATTATGTTTTTGATGTTTGTGACTTCCTGAAGTCAATTGCCTTCTTCCTTTTTATTCACCTAAAACAAATTATTAGGTTGGAAGGTGAAAGAAAATGTGTTTCATATCCAAATTTTAATGCAAATTTGTTTCACGTTGAAATACAGAAAACGTAGTATCTGTTTTAAATTAACAGACAAATAAAATAAACTTGACCAATTAGATTTTTGCTTTGTATCAGGATTTTAGCTTTTGTCTGTTATCTGAGCTTTACAAACAGCACATAACTGAATCTCATCTACATATCTATTCAACAGACACACACATGTTTTTTTTTTCTCTAGCAAAGTCAAAAATCTGTCAAAATAAGTGTGGAATGAAGTCTCCACAACTCCAGAAGAGCAGGTGTTTCTCCTTCACCATAATTTCTTAAACCTGAATGCAAATATGAGCTAACCTAAGTTAAATGCCTGCTTGGATTTTACACATTGTTTGGTATGCTAAACTCACCACAAAAATACTTCTCGGACCTTTACTGTACTCTACACAGACTTGTGTAGAGTACGGTTTGTTCAATTAATCGAATAACAACTCTGTAATCTGACCTACAAACCTTAGCTACTTAAAAAGACAACTATCCTTGCAAACACTGTTTGAACCTCTATCTAGGTTCATAGTTAAACTTTAAACATGGAGCTAAATGAACAGGACGTACACTGCTATGTATTTGACTTGGGTCAGAATACATAAGCGGCAGAAACGAGAAGGGAAATAGTTTTTCCTTTTAAATCCACCTCTACTTTCCTGAAACTATAGCTTGTTTATCAAGAGTGTAACTCTGCAACATCTGTAATAAACTGAGATTTAAAGCGCGAAAATAAATGAAGAGGCCAGTGAAGAAATCACTGACTGCTGCACACTCACAGAAATGATTTATGTTTTATGCATTTACGTCTGTTTGATTTTATTGAAAAACTCATATTGTGTGCCTTTAAATGAATTATTATATACATAATCTAATCACTTCTCTAATCAATTTATTGAATGTAATTAGTTAACATATACTAACAAAGTTTAGATAATTAAAGTTGTTAATCAAGATGCTGGTAATGAAATTTTATGTGTTTGGTTTTTGCTGAATGGGTGAATGTTATTCTAGTGGTCAAAAATGCTAGGAAAAGTGCTGTGTAAGTTCAGTCCATTTACCATCACAATGGACTGAATGGGAAGACATGAATATGAATCATGTAAAGTTTATTTGATAGGTTTGCATTAAAATTATCTATGAAAACTAAATGGAAGTTTGTCATGTAATAAAATTTAAAAAATCTTTTTTTTTAATTTAAATTGACTCTTGTGTTTTTAGAGCAGAAAAGCCACACAGATCAATAACCCTGAACCACTGGTGAACAGAGTCAATCTGGAGTTCACTGCTCCCAGCTAGAGCCTTAGTGCTGGCATGTTTATGGCAGAATATATATTCTCAGTATACATTTTCAATATACAACAATATACATTTTCAGCGTATATTTTTATGTGGCAACGCTGACATGATTTTATTAAGCTTTTATTGGCTTTCCTCCTCAAAATTCAACCTTGAGCAACAGCATGAATTTTACACTTAGATTTGTTGCTTTGTATCAAAATTCTAGCTTTTGTCTGTTATCTGAGCTTCACAAATTGCACATAACCGATTTCCACATAAATAGGGTTAGTTACTTGACACCTGTAAGAATATAAATGACATTAGAAAAATGTTTTAACAAAATGGTAGATTAACAGAAATATTTCTACTGAAGCTATTCAAGGCAGCAAAGCCCTTCATAACATATGGATTTCTCTAACTGTAGTTGCAAATCCTGTGGCAAACATGAAGTTTAGTTCAATTGAAACCAAGTTGAAGCAATGTGTCAGAAAAATTTATATTTTGAAGAATTGTGAAAACATTAAAGAAACACGAAAGAAGTGTTTCTGGTAGCAGTGTCATTGACTTTGCAAACAGACCAAATGAATATTTGACCAGCAAACACGAAGACTGGGAAGGGTAAAATCAGGGGGTGCGCTTTACCGTCACTGACAAAGGGGCGGTTGGAGGTACCAGAACAATAATTGGTCAGTAGCAGCTTTAAAAAGCAGACCTGAGTGGAGTGTGGGAAAAGCTGTTGAAGATCCATAATGAAGACTCTTTGGGTTGCTGTTGTGCTGAGTTTTGTCTCAGTGGGTCAGCCTGCTCCTCTGACCTGCGATAATCTAGCAAAGCCAGTCGAGAAACGACCAGACGTAAGTGAAATTGCAATTTCCAAATGACTTATTTTTTCTGATAAATTAAAAAGAAAAATACAGAGTAACACATTTTTCTTAAGAATGTTTTTCACAAACCTATATGTTCTTCTGTTTCAGTTGTCTGGGAGGTGGTACTACATAGCTGTATCAACAGAGGTCTGCTTGCCAGCATTGCTACTTAACAGCATGTTTTGGCCAAGTTTAGCTATAGACGTTACTTATAAGGACACGCCAAACCTCTATGCTGCTGTGATTAAGGCTAAAATGTGTGTAATCTTTATTTTGTCTTGCATTTTTTAAGTAAAATGCTTAATTTATGCATTTTATGTTAAATGTTATAATAAATTATCTCCAGGCATGGCGTCTGCTTCAATGAAACAGAGGATTTTTTTCAAGAAAACAACAAGCTCTTTGAAGTCAACAGTGAAAGTAAGAAGCTGGTGCATCCATTTCCAAACTCTGTCACATTTCCTATAGTGACATTTCAAATAACATGAATAGAAAAAAAGACAAGCAAACATCAGCACATATCAGAAATGGTTGTATTTTCACATAAGGTTTCCAATCACCTGATACCCTGCTATCATTTAAATTGTGTTTTGGAATTCAGGTTAATCTCTTTCAATATGTTTTGTTTACTTTGATGCAACTTTAGATTTAAAATGATGAAGTTTAATTTAAAATCCATAACAGTTCCTCACACTCTTTTCAACAGATGCTCCAGTTGGTGAGCCAGATGTTCTGCTGCAAACCAGCTGCTCTGACTGCATCGTCGTAAAGTCCATCGACACTCTCAACAATATTTTATTACTCAGTAAGGATAAACGGATTTAACCTGTTAGATGTTAAATGTTAGAACTTCACATGTAAATTCTGTTGCACTAAATACCTTCACAAATTGGTGAGAACGTAGGGGAATCTCTTGCCCATGTTATGGGAGAAATCTGGTGACACATGATGGTTTGCTGATATAGCTTGGTTTCTTGTACAGGACAAGATCTCTGAAATTCAACAGTAGATGGTTCAGTAGTAAAATGTGTCCCTTAACCCTAGATAAATAGGGCTCCAGGGGTCAATCTGAAGAATATTTAAACAATAAATTCTAAGTTTCAAAATCACAAATATGCCTAATTATGGGAATTACAGGATTATTTACTCTAAAGATTGATCTTAAAAATGGGACACTATGCAAAATCTATTTTTTAAGTAGTTTAATGTAGTTTACATTATAATGTTGTAATGTAAACGCCTCATCAAAATCATTCCCAGAAAGTTGCTTTCACTCATTTATGTATGCTTGAAGAGTCCTTGAATCTGCTTTGGCAGCCAGATGGAGAAACCAAGTCGCCTCAGGAAAAAAAAAATGTTGTGATGAGGTTCTTAAAGAGACAGAGGCCCAGGGGTCATATGAACTGAAAATGTTCTGTATTTGTTTAAATTGAGTGAAAAATATGAAACTCATCCATCATTTTCAAAGATTACAATTTACTCTCCTGGCTATATGAGGTGCAGACTTTCAACTTCAAGCATAGAGTATTAAAGTAATATTAGTTTAACCATATAAAAATTATTTTTCATTCTTCCTATTTTTTTTTTTTTTTTTTTTTTGCTCAAAGCAGAAAAATATTCTAGCCGCCTTGATGAGCATGCATCAATTTATGTCAATTTCTTTTCTAATTTGTCACCACTTTGTGCAAGTTTTTCTGCATTATTGTGTAAAACAGCAATTTTTTTCTGAGTGACAGATTGCACCGTTTTTCTTTTATGCAACATTTTCACCAGGCAGGAGAACAACCGTCACTGAAGAGGAACTGAAGGAATTTGAGTTGCAGGTCCAGTGTCTTCACTTTTCCAAACCACAGGTTTTAAATGCAGACCAAGGTGAGACTCCTACACCAGGAAAACTGTATGTATTGAAATAAATATAGCAATGTGTTCATTTCTGATCATTAATACTCATTTTCTTTCCCAATTCAGACTATGACAACTGCAAAGACATTGACAATATCTCTGAAGATCAGTCTCTCACCTTCTTGCTCCAAGTGTTTGAACGAGTGAAAAGCACTCACCAAAGCATACTCAAGTGTTTGGTAGATACATTACTTTCTTACAATCCTGTTACAATTACTTAAAAACATTTGTATGCAGATTAAGTAGCTGCAGACGATGACTTCAATGACAACTTTCATTTAAATGTTTCCAGTTTGAATCCAAATAAAACAAAATGGTAACATCTTGCTTTAGAAATGCAGTTTCAAATTATAAATGACTCCACTCTTCTATAATGCTTTACTTGTTCTGCTTCCAGCAAAATCCTGATAATCTGAAAACATTACTGTGCAGTTTAGGAAAGGCAGGCTCATTTATTAGTATGGCACATTTCCTGCAACAGGGTAATTCAAAGTGCTTTGTATGAATAAAAAAAAACATAAAATAAAAAGAAGCAAAAACATTGCATTGCACTGGAAAACTTGATAGTTCATGGGAGGTTGGTGGCTGTTTGAAACAATCAACAACAACCATGATGTTGTTCAGGCCTTCTTTAGGCTTTGAGGAAACTTTCAGCCTTTTAGTTTCAGATCTATAATTTGAAACTGAAGCAGCATATTTGGATTATTACCATATTCTGAAATGGCTAATGTTATTTCTTAAACTGCTAAGGAGAAAAAGGTACTTTACCCCATCCTTGATAAAGAACAACTTGATTCTTTCCTCCAAAGTGACTCCTGGGCACAAATAAAAATTAAAATGATTAGATATTTCTATTATTATTGATAATTAATTTTTATAGAAACATCTTGAGACTCATTATATCATTTGGAAGAGACTTGTATAAATCAACAACAATAACATGATAACAATAATGGTGCAATCCACTAAACAATTCTGTTTTGTTCAATGTCAGGGAATAAGGGGCCATAAGGCACAAACAAGTCCAGAACAACAGAAAACTGAAATGTGGAGTTCTTTACAGATCTGCTGTGAAATTGACTGCTACAGGATATTTTCCTGCCCAAAACCTTTAGCATCAATGACAACTCTGAAAAAAAAAAGTGGCTTAAAACCATATTTAAGTTTTGAGTAAATAAAGTATTTTTGAATTGAGTTGATTTGAGTATCGACAGGGAAGCTGAGAGGAAGTTTTAGAACTTCCACAGACAAGATCAACATTGCTCATTTATCACGATGCTATGATCTGGACCCCTTCTTGTGGCAGAACCTGTGGTTTAGACTTTCATATACACATGTTGCATTAATTTTGAACATTAAATGTTTAAAATCAATGAACATTCAATAGTACCAGTATTTTGTATTGGTACTGTTGTGTGTACTCTTGATAAATGATAGCTCCAGAATGGACAACAAGTGTTTAACTTTGACTGCTTCTCGTAAATCTTTAAACAGTCTGTGTCTGTTGTGTTATCTGAAATCAATCTCACCAATTTTTTTCATTGGTGGTTGTGTTGTGTGGGTGATTTACCAAAAATATACCAATATATTCTTACTTCCTCCAAAAAGTCTAAGCGTCAAGTTGTCCTCTTTAAAACTCATGACTACTAAAAACAAAACCTCTGCTGTGTGGTACTGATAGCATATGAAGATGTTATTTATCAAGTTTAAAAATTGTTGCTTTTATTCACAAAGTTAGGTTTTACATGTGCATTTCAGTCATTTATAATTGTTTCTTTAAACTAAAATTTGCATGTCATTATGCCAATTTCTGCATGTATTATAACACACAGCTCAGAGTCACATTAGATCCTTCTATCTTCTGAAGATTAGAAATTGTATACTGCTTTTAAGAGTCCAGCATGTGTTACAAATCCTGCTGTCTCTCCACTCACTGCACAAATGCATCAGTGAAAGTATCAGTGAAAGTAGTCCACCCCTTTCTAAAAAAAATCCCAACATGATGCAAAGACACTGTCAGAAAGAAAGACAAACAGTAGTACCTTTTGAAAAACAAACATTTAATGACAGCATGACAATGAGGAAGAAGTTAATTCCATATGTGATGCCCACTAGTGTGTGCCCACAATATAAAAAGAAAAGGAACATTCACTTGTTTAAATGTTTATGGGGTTATGTAGCTATTTTGTTTGTTTTTAACAGGGGTTGATGACGATGGGTGTATTTATGGTGTTTAACCAGTAGGTGGCGCATGGAGACTCTGAGTTGCCTGTTCCTCTGGCGTTTCTCATAAACTGAGAAATTGAAGTAGCACAGACTGCGTCTCCTGTGTTCTCACTCATATGCTGTTTTTCAGCTTTATCATCTGCTGCTGACGGGTCCAGAACCCGGTATCCATTACACATCAGTTGTTTTATATGACTATTTAAATCTGACATTGTTTCCTCATTCTTTTTCAAATAAATTGTAAATGATCAGGAAAAACCACCAAGCTATTTACACACCTTGGCAAAGATCACCTAATGCACAAAAAGAAAGAAAGTGAATTCTATGCAATTTAAACAGCTCTTTCAAGTCTTGACATAAAATCCATATTTCAGTGACATGTATCACAAAGAGAGAGACTGAAAAATTTAGATCAGCGTTGATTCGTTTTCACCATTTCTCATGTTACTGCTGCCATTTCTTGTTGTCTGGAGCCTTGATTATCTGCTGAACGCAGAACAAACTGTCTCCAAATCTTCACATAAGCTGTCTTGATCTTTTTTATTTTAAATGCATACACTACTGGGTTGACAGCTGAATTAGCATGTGAAAGCAGAATGCCAATGTAGAAAGCTATGTATGATACAGTATCTGGTCCATGAAAGTAAACAACAATGTTCATAATGTGAAGAGGGAGCCAGGAGACTACAAAAAGAGTCAAGACCAGAGACAGAGATGATGCAAGCTTTTTTTCTTTCCGTAGATACATGTGCGACTGATTTTGAGCACCATTGCCTGGTCTTTCTTTCAGTGTTCCATGAATGAAACAGAAAATATAGCTGTACAAAGCAATCATTACCAACAGAGGCGTCAGGTTGCAGAGAAAGAAATTAAAGTAAACTAAATAGGACATGGGAATCACTTCTGTGAACCGGCAAACAACTGTCGAATTAACAGAGTCCGGTGGGTCTTTATGCCATCCAAACACTGGAGTAAAACTCAGTGGTATTGCAACAAGCCAGCATACAGCTGCCACGGAATAGGAATGTTTCCAGGTTACAGTCTGTTTGTATCTGTAAAGAAAGATATAAAGTACCAGTCAGAATTTTACGCAAAGTGAAGGAAATTAAACTTATACTGATACATGACTTATCCAAAAGCTTTTTTCTTTAGTGAACTGATGAAACAACAATATTTCTTGTGATGTCTCTTAAATGAATATGGTTAAAATTGTACAATAATGCTATAAGCCTGTTTTTATATTTATAAAGTTCTGGAAATAATTAAGAGACTGCTGCACTGAATCCCAATGAAAACCTCACGGTTTGATTGATTGAATATTGATTTCTGAACTTAAAACATCAGTATTGTTGTTTCTAGGTGAATATGAATCTGTTTCCTTTGCCTTATTTGACGTCTGAAAGCACTACATTTTTTTTTTGTTATTTTGATCATTTCTTCTTTCCTGCAAATTTTTGCTTGGAATTTCAAAAACTGTCGTATATAGAATAAAAGAACAATGTTCATTTTACTCAACCATATGACTATGAAAAATAAAATCAGAGAAATTGATCATTTGATGGGGTCACTTAATTTTTTTTTCCAGAGTTGTTGCGATATATAAATATATATAGATATAAATGTTATCACAAGTTGTAAAACTCATATCTTGTTGAACAAGAAAGCTTCTATTTTTAACGAGATATTGCTGCAGAGTTTTTTTTTACGAACATATGTAGCTAAATGTCTTTTGGAAACAAGAGAACAATTTGACAATGACAAGAAGTTTGATTTGAAGGGTCACAGTGAGACGTTCAAACTTAAGAACAAAGTTCTTGTGTCACCAAGGTGGGGCTTAGTGGTATCACTTTATTGCAAAACACAGAACAGTCTTGTATTTTTTCAATTTAATCTTAAATCAGCAGATGGATGTTTACACTTGAGTATAATTTTGTATTCCTAAGTGATGGTTATTTTGCCAACCACACATCAAAACTGGGTTTAGAATGTGAAATAACAGTGAGCGTTTAGACTCAACCATAAAACTAAATTAACTCTATCATATATGCCAAAGGTGGAGTTTTGACTGAAATATTTTGATAGCTATTAATTAATTGATAGTTGAGATGATTGACAAGATTTGAGCTTGTTTGTACAATGTCTGAAAATCAGAAAATCCACCATAAATGAGAGATTTCTGCACCAAATTTTGCATAATTTCCTTTCCATTCTGGTGAAAGAATGCTTCATATACATTGAACTCCAACTTTCTACTCTGAAAACGACATTATAAACCTGAGGTCAAGCTGAAAACCTGTCAGGACTTAGAGAATAAAATCTAAGTATTTAGAATGATCTTCCAATAAGTCTAAATCTACTCAATCAAAAGTAAAAGACATTCCTTACCGGAGAGGGATATAGACCCGCAGGAATCGATCAATAGCAATAGCCATCAGACATAGGATTGAAACTAAGGTGAGGAGGATGAGTACACAGCTGATGAAGAGGCATGTGTGGAAGGAAGTCTCCAGAACTCCATCCACCAGCACACCTATTGGTATGGCAACAAATCCCACCAGAAAGTCAGCCAGAGCCAGAGACACAATAAAGCAGAAGGTGGGTTGTTGGATGCCTTTAGTTTTCCACAAAGCTAAAACCACCAACATGTTTCCCAGACAGCAGCAGACTGCGATGAGGATTTCCAACACGGTATAAATGACCTCTCCAGAGTTCATGGTGCTGACTGTCTACAATAACTCTCAGGGTAAAAATGAGTGCATTTATGATTTTGTTCAGGCTTTTTTTTTTTAAAGCTTTGTGATCTATGATTCAAAACTTGGTTGGCTAAATATACATCGGTATGTTTAGCACATTCAGAAAAAGCACGTTTACCGAAACTGTGAAACAGATGAGGGGAAAGAAGCACTTAACCACATCCTTGATAAAGATCAGCTTGACTCTTATATATAATATATAACATATATAAATATAATTATAAATAATTATTTTATAATGATAATATTTTCTATTATTAATAATAATTATTTATTTATACAGGAAAATCTCTTGACAGCTGTTACACATCAACAACAATAACATGAAAACAATGACAGTTTGATTTTCACTAAACTGAAAATCAACACCACATGCATGACCAAAAGAAGCTTCCACTGATAAATATACACATAGTTTCAAATCCCTTTATCAAACTTTTAAATTTCTCAATTGTGACCAGATGGAAGAACTTCAGGTTTGGCTGAAGCAAACCTGAGAAGGAGAATTTGTTTTGCCAAGCAAATTATGCACAGGTGGAACAATGAGTATAATAAATTCAGCTATGGTTAAATATAATTTAGCTGAGCAAGTGTGGCATGTTTTTGTACATGCAGGGGTCCTTTCAGTGTTCTCTTGCTTCCTCCCACAAGAGAAACAACTAACATTGCACATGTTAGTAGTGCATGTTCTAACTATACACTATCATGCATAGTTAGTACTAGTTGAAGACACTAGGTAATCTAAGTAAATTAGACACCAGATTAATTGCCTGATTGTTTGTCTTGTGTGTCTCTGTGTTGCTCTGTAACGAACTGGCAACCTGTTCAAAGTTCTTGCTCAATAACCACTGGATATGGGCAATTTAAGCAATGGATGCTTATATTGCATCTATTGTGAATGCAATATAAGCATCCACTGCATTCACAATGCAATTCATTTTAACCCAATCAATCTTGTTTAAGAACAATTTCTTGTTAAGGATGAACTGCTAAATGACTGCTAAAATGCTTGTGCTGGTAAGGGTAAAACCACAAGCTGCAAACTCCAAATAGAAACAAGTTGTGAAATGCACTCACTGGTATTCAGACTTCCTCTTTTTCTCTGACTTTTGTACGTTGAAACGTTACCAACCTCCACCACACTTAAGGGTCAATAGTCCCCTCAAGTAGGGGGAAAAAAACAAGAACACAATTTTGAAATTGTGGTGTTTCCATTAGAAGCACTATTAAAAGCATGCATGAATAAGTTTGTTCAAGCAATAAATCATTAAAAAATTGCTTCTTGCGTGGCAACAATCAGTTGTCAATCAAGTGACTTCTGTGATAAAAAACACATCCATTGAAATTTAGCAAAATAAAGTAATTGGTTAACAATATCGAAACATCTCATCCTAACACTAAAGTTTTCTTTGAAAAATGAGAATTTGCCATGTTTCCATTGAGAAATTTTATTTTCAAAACATCAAATTATGCAATTTATGGTCAAAGTAAATTCAGCTACTGCTTGTAGCTTGTCAAAAGGGATTAACATGCACAGCTAGTGTTAGTTGAATATGACTTGTTGCAAATATTTGTCATTTTTTATTTATTTTACATCTGAAGGCTAGAAAAGAACAAATGGTTGCTTGGCAATTCCACATTTAGGGGACAGTTAGACTTTGAAACGGTCTCACAATCCAGTCTGTCTGATAAAGCCATGATGCACAGGTGAGACGACAACCAAAGGCTGGACCTCAGTCTCCATGGTGGAGCAGAAGCAATGAACCAAAAACAATACAACAAACCCCACAATCATCAGAATATGATGGTTATTGAAAGTTTTGTTCCTGAATCACAGGATGGGATAATTGTTGAAAACTTAACTGATTTATGTTGTGCATGTAAATCCATCAAAAGAAAAAGTAGTAGTTAAACATTTAGCTTACGTATATTATAACAAAATGATTTGCCAGTAATTGACTGAATTCACAATAAAAATATGTTTTTGTTCATTTTAAACTTGAAGAATTCTAAAATTCTCATGAAGCATTTGAGTTCAGATTTCTATTATCTTCATCCATTCATCATGGACACATTCTCAACAAAGCTGCTCCTTTTCACATTTTGTTCAGGTTTTGTTAACTAAAACTTTACTCTACTGCACTCTGAGCTCTGATGGACTCTTTCCCTAACTTTGAATGGCATCGGTGACCCAGTTTAATAAATAAGTAAACACAGGATTACTGGCAACTCTGTTTTGTAACTAATAGCTGGATTTGATTTGGTGTGGAAAATGTTCTGCAAAGATTTATGAAACAGTTGAAGTGATACCAAATCAGCAAATCTTCAGCTGAATAAATGAAAAAGAAAAATAAACTTTTGGCATAAAGTTCCAACATTAACCTGATTGATTGTTCTTAGTATAATATGTAAAAATAATTATAGTTTGATTTATTTTATTTAATTTTTGATGCTGTAAGAAAAAAAAAACAACAACAATCAAATATCTGTTTTCTGTTGACATATTAATTGGTAATACACTGTGTACCTTATAATAAGGTACACATGTGTTCTACATTTGTCCTTAGTTGATCCTTTTGTGCAGAGTAGTGGTTGTTTGTTGAGTAAACATTGATTGTGTCTCATACTGGAAAGGGGTGGACAGATCTAGCAGAAAAAATATTGGTCAGCAGAATCAACATAAGAAGGATCAAGAAAGCAATAAGCAGAGAAACCATGAATTCTGCATGTGTTGCTTTCGTTCTGCTGAGTCTCTTCTCAGTTTCCCAGTCAGCGTCGCTGGCCTGTGAGGTGTTGCTGCGGCCGGTAGACAAACTTCAGAATGCAAGTATCTTTCACCTTTTTACAGTTTATGCAGCTATTAAAATTTCCTGAAATATTTTAAATACCGCCATGCATTTATGACAAACTGGAAACAAACAAAATTACCTCTCTTTGTATTTTCAGGTTCAAGGGACTTGGTACATGGTAGCTGTGGCTTCATCTTGCTGTTGGGCAGTAACAGTGCTGAATACCTTAGGGCCTCCAAGTTTTCAACTTGATTTTACCTCAACGAACAAATCACTCGTCTACGACATGAACTCAATCATGAAGATGTAAATATTCTAATTTACTTTCAACAGTCATAAAATTAACCTACAGTCTGAGTATTTGTCCTTGTCTAAGAAACAGGATAATAAGTACAATTAAAGCAGTGTATGAAAACCCAACAGATTACATCAGGTCACTGATGTTCAGCAGTGACTTCTCCTGGACGAGCATCCAGCAATAGCAGATGTTGACTTTACAGCAACTACTGAAACCGATAATGCATGTAGCAACAGCAGAGGCCATCTTCCATGACCCAGTGGGGATTTGAGCCCCCAAAGGCTTTTTTTGTAATTCCATGTCATTTCTATCCCTTAAAAATATGTTCCACTAGTTAAAGAACAACATTTTCCAGCTGGCTTCTGTCTTATAGGTAATTTTTTTCAGTCTGACCCTTACTTCCCACTTCACTTGTACCGTGCAGGCATTTAATAAAAACGTGTTCTGAATTTTAAAAAGGCAAAAGTCACAAATTACACAACTTATTTGAACAGAAACCTGTTTGCAAAAATAACAGGGAAATATTTCTAAAATTCTTGTTGCTATTCTCTCTTTTTCTTTTGCTTTTTTAATTAGTAGCCTTTTGCTGTCCTTATTTACATTTTTTTGGTGCAATCTGAATAATGCAAACAGTTCTGGTTTTTGAGACTGAGGACTTATTTGTTCAGTTTGTTAGATATATAAATTCACAATAATACAATTTAATGCAAAAAAGAAAAAAAAATGTCCTGACCTCACTTGAATGTCGATAAACTGTGTCAGGCCATTGTGACTATGGTTGTTTGGTGAAAAGTAACAATTTTTGTGTCTTGTTTCAAGATGTTTACAAAGCATTGTTTTCAGACATTAAGCACATGCAATAAAACTCCTCTATCTAATCTTAGACAATTAGATTAGTTTTCTAGATGTCCTTATCTGGCCAGGAGTTTCTTAGACATTTTTTTATGAATGTCTTGCAGTGGTGAGGAATGTATGAATAATACTGCAAGGTTTCTCTTGGAGACAGATGGGATATCTTTGTCCTATTCTAATGGTAGGTGTAATGAGCTGAAGTATTCTATTATATGTATGTGTAAATGTTGCATAAGACAGAGAAAATGTTTTTTTCTTGGCTTTTCAATAATTTGACCTGGATTAGCAAAAGGGATTTCACATTATCAAATGGTTCTATGTGATGTGTTTGACAGACTGCGAAGACGATGACAAAGGTTTGTTTCTTTGCACAAGCTGTGCTGACTGCCTCATTCTGAAGGACGACAACTCTCCTGCCAATCTCTTGCTTATGTTAAGTAAGAATAATGTTGATTTTTAAACAAGTTAACATAACTAAGTAAATGCCAACTAAATTTGACTCTATCGAGAAGTTTGTGACTGCTACCATTAAGTAGCTACTGAGATATATTTCTAAACTAAATCAAGTGAACAAAATTCAAGCAAACCAATTTTCTCAGTCGGTCCAAATCCAACGTCTAGCAAATGACATTACTTGTCTTGTTTTTACATTGTGTTCATTTTACACTCAGCATATCTTAACACAGATTTCATCTTCAATAGGAAGGAAACCAACTGTCACAGCTGAAGAACTGAAAGAGTTTGAGGCACAGGCAAACTGTCTCCAGCTCTACAAGCCACAACTCCTAAACACAGATCATAGTGAGGTTTCATCCTTTTCATTACTCACATTATGCATTGTAAGAATGATATACAAATGATATGGATGTATACTATAAATGGTAAATTTGCATCTGTGTAACATACAACAGTCTCTGGAACGTATGTAATGATTTTACATACGTTTAATCTTTCATTCCTTCATTTTGCTTTTTTACAGACTGCAGTTCCAGTAACACAACAATGGATTTGATTTGAGCGAG